TACGATCCATGCCTGTACTATCGACTCGAAGGCAATCGAACCCTGTTCGTAGCGATCTACGTTGATCACGTGATGATCTTCTCTAATGACGGAGCACTTCAAAACGAATCTGAGGAACACGTTCCGCATGAAAGAGTTCAGGACAAGTAGCTGTCTCGGAATCCGGATCACACGTGGACGAGCAACTGAGTCGCTTCAATATGAATCCTGGACCCAAGCACTGGGATGCAGTAAAACATTTGCTCCGATATTTGCGAGGTACATCGAAGCTCAAGTTACGATACACGAAGCAAGACGATCCTGAATTGACCGAATTCTCGGATGCAAATTGGGCTTCCAACATGGACGACAGGAAGTCCACTAGCGGCTATATATTCATGCTTGATGCAGCAAGAGGCAGCCGACTGTAGTTCTCTCAACATGTAAGGCGGAGTATAGGAGGCCATGTGGTGATGCGGTTTGATGTTACAGCTCGGATTGCAATAACCCATCGAACTTCACTGCGATAACCAAAGCGATAAATGCATTGCTAAGAATGGAGGATACACACCACGAGCCAAGCATATTTACATCCGACACCACTTTATCCGGGACGCTTTGAAACAGAATCGTTCAGCTGATCTATGTAAGCACCGATCAACAAATAGCGGATGGTCTGACGAAGTCGCTTGAACGGATTAGCCTAAACTCTATCCAAAAATAAACATTGTAGCCAGATAAGTCAAATAACTGGTTTACGAGAAAATTAAAAAAAATGGTGGAGATTTGAAATACAGACACGTTACGTTCAGTGTTGCAGAGTATCAATATCAATACCCACAAAATGCCACCTGATATCAGTATCAGCTCACACAGTTAGAATATCAATATTATTCGCCTCAATGTCAGTGCGCAAAAAATTCTTTCATCCAAACGAAACCTCTACAAAAAAGAGTGAAGCTCCGTCAGCGGTAAACTCAAAAGACGATCAGCAGAATCAGAAGCGAGAGGTTCCTGCTGGGCTTAGTACTTCAAAACCTGCAACCAGTAAGGAGGAACAGCAGTCAAACTTCTGTATTCGGTCAAAGTCGGGTAGACAGATACTACTCTCAACAGCGGTAGTACTGGTCTATGGAAAAGCGAACAACTCGTACCCTTGCAGAGTTCTTCTTGACTCGGGGTCACACACAAACTTCGTTTCGGAACATTTCGCTACGTTGTTGGGATTGAAGAAGCAACCTACTAACTTTTCGATCGGTGGGTTGAATGAAACACAAACGAAGGTTCGATTCAAGATACACACGCAGCTGGAATCTAGAGTAACTGACTATACTGCTCGTGGTACCGAAGATAACTGGAGAGCTTCCGGTTACAAAGATTGATTACAGATCGATCACGATTCCGGGTGATATCGAGTTGGCTGACCCGAATTTCGGAGTTCCTGATAAGGTTGACATGCTGTTGGGTGCCGAAATATTCTTGGAGCTGCTGAAGTCAGGACGTCTACCAGTACCAAACTGTGCAGTGGTGCTCCAAGAAACCCACTTTGGCTAGGTTCTTAGTGGTTCAATACCTGATGAAGGACCAACTGTACTTCATTCGTTCTGTGTGTGAGCTGAAGAAGATATTGGAGAGCTTGTGAAGCGATTCTGGGAAATCGAAACATATTGCGATTCCGAGTAGCACCCCGAGTAGCACACTTCCGTTAATAAAAGTTGCAGCAACTTGTTTATGACTGAAATGATAAGTCGTAAATAAGTTTCTACAACCGATATGTGAGAAGCGTGCTACTAGGGCAAGATGTACCGTCAAGTTGGAGTAGATCGAAACGATAGGCGGTACCAAAAGGTTGTAAATAGATACGACAGCAACCAGCCGCTCTAAACGTATGATTTGCAAACGGTAACATACGGATTAGCTTCGTCTCCGTCCACGATGGCGCTTCTTCAACTAGCCAATGATGAAGAGCATCAGTTTCCACTAGCTGCAGCCGCAGTTAGGAAGTCCTTCTACATCGACGATGTACTGACTGAAGCCAACACACTGGAAGAAGCTCTAGAGCTGAAGAATCAGATTATCGGACTACTGGAGAAGGGTTGCTTCAGAATGCACGAGTTCTGTTCGAATTCAGAGGCATTACTGGAGGATGTATTGGAAAACATGCGGGAAAGTGTTATCAATATCGAAGACCCAACCATCAAGTCATCAAGACTCTAGGTGTAGCTTGGTGGTCACAGGAAGATTGCTTCACACACCCTCGTTCCAGTTAACCCTACAGTTGAACCGAATCGACTCACAAAGAGGTTGATTCTCACCCAGATTGCGAAGATTTTTGATCCATTGGGTTTCGTGAGCCCTGTGGTGACAGCAGCGAAGTTGATCATGCGGGAATTGTAGTCTCTCAATTTTGATTGGGACGAACCTGTGCCCACTGAAATGGCGAATCTTTGAATGGACTTTTGAAACGAACTGCACTGTCTAAATGAGTTGAAGATAACGAGATGGATCCTTTCTGAGGAAGCATGTGCTGTGGAGCTCCACGGGTTTACAGATGTATCGGACTTGGCATTTGGCGCTTGCCTGTACAGCAGGTTGGTGAAAGGCGATGAATCGGCTGATTTGAAGCTGATTTGCAGTAAATCAAGGATTCTTCCGAGAAAGAAAGGAAAGCAGAAGGAGATCACCACCCCGTGAGCGGAGCTGTTGGCGGCTCTACTTCTAGCAAGGCTTACAGTGAAACAGTTGGATGCCCTCGATGTCCAATTCGAATCCGTGGTACTTTGGAGCGATTCACAGATAGTATTGTGCTGGTTGCGCAAATCACCCGATTCTCTTGCTGTGTACGTTGGGAACAGAGTCCGAGAAATCCAACGATCGACGGATAATTTCGCTTGAAAATACATCCCTTCCAAGTCGAATCCAGCTGACACGATATCCAGAGGCATACAACCCAAAAATTTGGAGGCGCATGAATTATGGTGGAATGGTCCACCAAACCTTCGATATCCTGACGGGCGATTCGATGAACCGCCACCTATTCCGGATGAGGAATTGCCGGAGCTTCGTAGCGTTGTGCTTGTGACGACACGTAGACATCCGAGATTAGAACTTTTCGATCGAATAAGCCGATATAGCATCATCCAAAAAAATCATGGCGTATGTTGTTCGATTCTGTGACTACGTCAAGAATGGCAAGAAAACTTTGACCAAGGGACTGCCTACTGCATCTGAAATGACACGAGCGAGCACGTTGATTGTCCGTATGGTGCAGAATGAAGATTTGGAATCGGAAATCAGCACGCTGAAAGCAGGGAAGGAGTTCAAATTTCCAGTACGTAATTTGAATCCATTCGTCGACGAAAGTGATAAAGTCATACGTGTGGGAGGTCGATTGAAAAATGCAGCCATTCCATATCAACATAAAAATCAAGCGCTGTTACCCGAGAAACACCCAGTGACGGTAACATTAATACGATACCTGCATCGTACGAATATGCATATCGGGCAGCGAGGTCTCCTAGGAATTGTTCGACAGCAGTACTGGCCGCTGAATGCGAAGAACCTGATTCGAAAGTTGGTTCATCAATGTGTTCCTTGTTTTCGGACGAAATCAACACGATCCTCACAACTAATGGGGAATTTACCAGACTACCGAGTGCAACCTTCACCAGTTTTCGCACACACTGGAATTGATTTTGCTGGCCCATTCAAGATTCAATCGAACACGAAAATAAGGAATGCTGCAGTACTGAAAGGCTACGATTGCGTGTTTGTATGCATGGCTACACGTGCTCTACATCTTGAAGCTCTCCCGATTTGACGTCCGAAGGTTTCATGGGAGCCCTTCAACGCTTCGTAAGCCTTCGAGGACTCGTTAAACTGTATTCTGACAACGCTTCCAATTTTGAAGGCGCTAACAACGAAATGAATCGACGGGCAACCCTGTTCCAGAAATAACAGCATCCGCTGAAGCTGAACGAATTTTGTGCCCAGAGAGCGATCGAGTGGTCATTCATTCCGCCACGCAGTCCTCATTTTGGTGGAATTTGGGAAGCCGGCGTAAAGTCGGTGAAATCGCACCTAAAGCTGATCATGGCAGAACACAAGCTGTCATTTGAACAATTTGCAACTGTGCTGACACAAATTATCAGGTATCAGATGACCTGAATGATATCAGTACCATTACTCCTGCCCATTTTCTGATCGGTCGTGAGTTCCAAGCAATCCAGGAACCGTCGTATGAACATATTTCACAAGGCAGACTGTCCCAGTGGCAACTGGTTTAAGACATGAAGCAAAAATTTTTGAAGTAGTGGATGCGAGACTACTTGCACGAATTGCAGAAGCGCGCGAAGGATTTCAAGGTCACCGATTACCAGGGGGGAGCCTTGGTCCTCATCGTAGATGAGAATACTCCGCCACTGCAGTGGCAGCTAGCTCTAATCATAGAGTTACATCCCGGCAATGACGGCCACGTCCGCGTGGTTAGTCTTCGAACGAAGGATGGAACGATGAAAAGGGCCGTATAGAAGATCTTTCTTCTGCCCTTGGACAACGAGAGTCATCAACGAGACGAGTAGAGTTTTGAAATTCCCAATTCCAATGGCCCGGAGGATGTTGAGTGTAGCAACGCTGCCAACTTTTTTACCAACACACCTAAACTCTGTAAAGTATGCAATAAAAGACAGTCATTTTTTTCTATAGCAGAATAGACCAGACGCGTTTTCTTTCATTCCACGCGGAAGAAAATTTCCATTTACAGTCCACTGTTTCCCCCGAGCTCGTACAGTAATATCAAAGCCCCGCCTGATATCATGCTTACTACGACTATCAATGTCGGAAGGGAAATTCAGTGCTAGATCAATAAAGAGATGCTTGTGAGTGTTTTAACAAGTTTCAGCAACCAAAATTACCAAAATTGTAGTGAGAAAGTCTAAAATTTGTTTGTGTTTGCTCAAAAGCTGCCATTGATTAAAAGTTTTAGAACCATTGTGTAGTTCTTAGGATTCTGCTGTACTTACTTTCACACGACTTCTTATCGCTGTGCAGTTCATATCCGATGTAGCAAGCGCACTCGTACCCGCCGAGGGTATTAATACACTCGTGTTCACATCCGTGGTCCATTCGTTCGCACTCATCCACTTCCTTCATGAAGGTTGCTGAAAAGCCCGCCTTCTGCACCGATCCGTCCGATACAAACTTGACAAACATTTTGTTTGTGGATGACCTGTGAAAATACACTCAATTCCAATCACCATTCTATGTTTGGAGCTTACCATCGGCTTAGCTCACCTCATATCCGGTGGAATCTTGTACCCACAAAATACTCCAATGACGCGGGAATCTATTGAATCACCGTCCCGCACCTCAACGTAGTCGTACACACAGTTGTCGTGGTTTTCCACCTCGAATGATTGAAATTTAAGTGCCACCTGATAGTCCTTCGGAACGGTGATTTTCCAGATGCACTCTTTGTTCGGCAGATAGTCCATGGGGTAGTTGGGTGATTCGAGCCGTCCTCCACTTTCCAAATTGACATTGCCACCGCAGACCGCTGAAATGTAGAGACATAGGTATAGTAGGGAGGGAATGGAAACTCAGCTTTTGTTGACTATAGCCAATAATCCAAATTAAATGGTTGAATGTTAGGTATGCTCAGAAATTCACATGAGCAAATAAATCATAGCAAATGGAAAAAATTGTACTTAGACAAAGTTGGATGAATTTTAGTTAACTAGAGTTTAATATAATCAATGTAACAAAAACGATCTACAAACATTTTTGACGACAAGTAAATAAATAAATAAATAAATAAGTAAGTAACTCTACGAATTCGATAATTAGGAAATAAGTAATGATAGATATAATTACATCAATTGAATACTAATCTTTTAAAAGTGCATGAAGCTACGAAATTATGTAAGTATCTAATAAATGAAAACATCCCTCCATGCATCAGAATGAACACATCTAACATCCAATCACAACCGTGGATCCCACTCACCCTCGTAGCTGGCAGCAAATCCTCGCATGTTGTTCTGCCGGAACGTGGTTGTGTAGGTGAGCAACATTCGGCTACCTGTTGATTTGATCAGATCGTTCACTTTGCCGGAGCCGCAGAATTTGCCCAAAATCGGTGACTTGTGCCAGTAGCCGTCGCGTATTTCCAGATAATCCGAGCGGCAGTTGTTCGATTTGAAAATGTCCTGTTCGTTGGGGGGAAGAAGAGTAGGGTATGAGAGCAGCTCAAAACGAGGGTCATAAAAACCGTGCTAAAGTGAGTACAAATTGACAAAAACAGAGCCGAGCACACGCGTATCGTGAAAATTAACTTGCAATCAATAAAACTGATACGATCGGCAGGCGACAGGATATATCTTCCCCTACTTGCCACCGTTTGTGAGATTTTACGCTCTGGGTGGATTTGTAGATGGATGGATGTTCGATGATGGTGGGAAGTATAAACGAATCTGATTGAAATTTAAATTTATGCAGATTGAGTGCGGTGCGTCGACAGTTTGCCATTCATTGGATTCTGTTGCAGATTGCTATCGAATGTTGTACACAGTAAAGTATGGTTATCAAACTAGGACGGTTCCGGTTAATGTTTATTGTTCTGATGAATGCAAAGCTTTGGATTGCCTGCGCTTTCCAGTTTATTGGAATTTAGGAAAATGAAATTGAATTTATTGGGAAACCACGGAATGCAAGCCTCGCGGCTCGATAAAAATGACAAGCTACGGTTTCCGCAGAAAGCTGTGAATGGAGTTGTGGAGAATGGTTTTGCTGAACTTTCCCAGCACCAGAATCCTGAAAATTGAAAGTCTCAATCATTTGATTGACAACTTTCAAAAATGTTGAAGATTGCGAATCATTTCGCTTGTCTCAGAATCATGTAAATTTTCCTTTTCAATGTAACTGAGAGACTGTGCATATTTAAAAAAAAAATTACAGAGCGAGGATTCTTGTTCACTATACAATACATCTTAACACTATAGTCAAAAGGTACAATAAATGCTTTATCTTCCGCTTTCCAAAAAGCCTCCTCCATCAGAACGGGAGTCGCTTCCAGTGGTTTCATTGTATGGCAGATTCGCCAACGGGGATCTGAGCGCTTCCATTGCAGCAATGGACGCAAAACTCTATCTATTCATGTGGTGAAACATTACAATTTCTGCATTCTTTGAATGCAAATCGGTGATAGAATCTTACATTTCCCAGTTGGGGGTACGTAGACAAGACATATTCGAGACGTTTGGATGACTATTCGTTCGCGAGAATCGAAGTTTAAACTCATTGCTCATTGGTCATTTTCACATGTTCGTCTAGAAATGCAATATAGTCACTTTTCATCGCATGCTAAAATCAATTATTGTAATCGATAATCAACCTCTGAAACCATGATATTTAAGCTACGTTACTCGGGCATCATTGCCAAAGGATTTTTGCCACAATTCTCTATGATCTCTATAATATATGGACCAGAACAAGTCCTTCGATCGAGGAGTTTCCTGCATCTCGGACCACGTGTTGCAAACTACAGCTTACACGATCATATACATACAATTTAGATTTGAACTGCACAGCGGAAACATTTCGTTGCCGGATCAAACGCAGCCTGCTGGACAGGCAATAAGCAGCCTGCATCTATCTACGAAAATCATGAAAGGAGCGATGTATGCTGTTTTTCAATAGGATTGCTCCGGATGTAATTTTTATGTTCCGACTGCACATCTGTTAACACTCCGAATACGATGCCTCCGAAAAACGTGTAACGGCAAGTTTGCAATGTCATAACTTAGCCATTTCATAATGAATTTCAAAAATTGTGGTACTTTTAGAATTCCTAGGGTTTGTAGATGATTTCTGTGGTATTTGAGAACTTGGCACTGAAGAAATCTACAATCTAGTAGTAGTTTAAAAAGATAAGCAATTATCGAAATTATTTTGAAATAACTCAAAAGGTTCGACAATGATGGATGGATGGATGGATGGATGGATGGATGGATGGATGAGACTTATAGAAGTATCTTCACAACACCATACAATTTTAGAAGTTCTGAGTCAGAACTACCTTGGAATCCTATCCATAACTACTATTACTATACTACTGTTGCTCCTCAGCCCTCCTTTGCGCTATGAGGAATCTGGTGACCAAACATATTTTCATTATTTGGAAATTTTTGTATTAGTATGTGCCTACATTAATCATTGAACATCATTTTGAGATCCTGAAGTCTTCTAGGTTCTCCAAAATATCCTGGAGATAAGATCTTAATGTTTATACACTTAATGTGATTTGATACGCACGTTCCATATTCAACGCATCATCCAAGCTTTGTAAAGCTTCCTGATAATATCACAGAATGGTAGCAATATGTGCAATAATGCTTTCCAAACTATACTGGAGCTAAGATCTTGAAGTTCTACAGGCTTAATGAAGTCTTGAACAATGTTCTGAAATTCAAAAGAGCATCTTGATAATATGCACACCATCGAATGGTAAAAATAAAGTTCTGGACTTCCTCAAATTGTTATTAGTTTAAATTTCATTCCAAAGCGTCTATGAGTTTGGCAGCACTGTATCAATTTTTAATGAAATTGTGTGTGTGCAAAGACTTTAACTAGTTAAGCAAGTTTGCATGTAGTTCATTTCAAGAGCCGCATGTGAAAGGGGCATACAAGTTTTTTTTGTAAACATATATGTGTAGGCCCTTTTCTCGCCAACCGAGGGTCGCTCACGCAAACCAACAACGGCCCTTATTACCAGTGTCACTTCATGGTGAATACGAAGTGAAGTAACCAGTGCCACTCACGTGGAAGTGATTTCCGTGTAAATCAAATGGGAATCACTTCACCGTGAGTAATAAGTTGTCACTTCACCGTGAAGTGACATCGGTTATAAGGGCCAACATCATCGGGAAGGGGAAAGTTTCCCCTTCCCGGAGATATTGATGGTTTGCGCTGGTATTATATGGGTTGCAAGAAATGGTCAATGAACCTTTTTATATGAAATTGATGGATTTTTTTTTAAATATTTAAAATAAAAAAAATTAAACATCGAAAAACAAAACGTTCAAAGTGTGAATTTTTTCAAAACAACATCACTATTGGAAATTATCAAATCTATCAAGATATTTCAACATGTGAATATGCTGACAATACCCAAGTAACCAATCCAACCACTAACTTGCCTTTTTGCAATATAAGACTAATGCATGGCTAATATGGGACCTCCCTTAGCTCAGTACATAAAGGCGCAGCTACAAAGCAAGACCATGCTGGTGGTGCTTGTGTTGGATTCCCGGTTCGTTATAGGATTTTTTTTTTTCAGTGTTCACTCGGCTGTCGACAGAAGCAGACTACTCTCAATGTGTGTCACGCGATCGTCTGTTTTCTCGGCAGCAACCATTGTGTGGTCCTCCTCATTGTTCTTCATCAGCAGTTCTTTCAGTCGATGCGTCGTCGACTTTGGAAAGCAACCGTTTCGTGTTGAATGTGTGAGTGCTGGCCACGTTTTGCGTCCATTGCTGCAATGGAATCGCTCTGACCCCCGTTGGCGAATCTGCCATACAATGAAACAACTGGCAGCGGCTCCCGTTCTGGTGGAGGAGGCTTATTGGATAGCGGAAGATAACATGTTTATTGTGTTGTACCTTTTGACTATAGTTTTAATTTGTATTGTATAGTGAACAAAAATCCTCGCTCTGTAAAGTTAATTCGGTTGTGCCTTAATATCAAATAAATTAATAAACCAAAAAAATAATAGGATTTTTTCGGGTTGGAAAAATTCTCGACTTCCCTGGGCATAGAGATGATTGTACTTGCCACATAATTTTACTAATGCAAAAATGGTACAGGCTCGAGAGCTCTCAATTAATAACTGTGGAAGTGCATCTAGAACACTAAGTTGAGCTAATATAAACATAAACTAATATGCGATAAGTAATAAGCCTGAAATGCGTAGAAGAAGAAGGAGAAGAAGCTCGGCTAATATACGGCTCGTAAGCCCCATAATAGTCGTATGTCTTAATCTGCAAAGAGAAGAATTTCCCGGCTTAATACTTGGGTCCACTGAAAGATGGGTACATTCTAATAATAAAAAAAAAAAATCAATCGTTTATATTTATTATCGCATGTATTAACGGAAAGGATACAAATTTGTTACGGGTCTGCAAAATATGTGCATGGAAATTTTTGAAAACTATTTCATAAAATACGAGGGAGAAAGAGAATCATTTGAGAATATTTCCTTACTGAAAACAATTGGATATGAAGAGCAAGTTGAAAATTACAAGACTTTATCATAACCCAAAGTGATGCATTCTGCAACCTCGAAGCTAGTCTAAATCCGATTTGAAAAAGCGGTTCCTTGTATGTAAAAAAAATATTAATCATTTTGGTATCACTTGATTCAATAAACTCAAACCGCGTCCACATTTTTTCGCCCCCAAGCCATCAGACGATGGAAATTTCTCTTTCAGCGATAATCCACTATAAATCCACCCCCACCCAAGCGCAATTCATGATTGAACGGAAGTGCAACATATAGGATTGAGTGTGCTTTGGGCATAAATCACGCAGGGCCAGATAGGAATAGGGAGGATACAAAAAAAAAAGTAAATGAAGAGCAACCAGGTATGTAGATACGTTACCAGATCGGTGATGTTGAGCACGATTCGTTCACCGTGCGTGGCAGTTATCCGCCACTCGCATCTTTCCGGCTCGATGGGTGGATTCGACGAATAGTAGCTGGGTGAAGTAAACGAAGCCGAATTTTCCTGGAACGTGCGACCGCATTCTGAAACGAGAGGCAAGTAATTCTATTAGCAAGGATTTGCTCGTTCTGGGAATACCAAACAACACAAACTGGCACATTTGTAGAGCAAATTCGCCTGCGAAATGTCTCCTTCGCTGAGTCGCAACCGCTGACCAATTTCGGGACGCTTACGGCCGGGCATTTCAATTGGGAATATCGTATCCAGATAGGTTCCCTTGGAGAAGGTATTCCGGGCGTAATGCATGATCGAATCGTAGTCGTAGGGAAGTCCTAACGAATTCACCTCGTCTTCGGTCAACTTGTTGAAATTGTACTCCTGACCGACCATTATGTTGTTCTTCTCGATGACGACATGATTTTCGCGATCCGGCCGGGTGTGCTCATGCCAGAAGCCAACGACGTGCCCCAATTCGTGTACGACAATACCAAACTTGTCACAGTTTTTCCCAATCGAAATGGCCTGTGGTCCATTGCCACGTTTTCCAACGAACGAGCAACAGCTGCAATGATATAGCATCGAAAAGCGGCATCAATCATCGGAATTGGAAGCCTCGTCAGCAGATACACAGTGTTATTTTTCGCTTTTCGAGGAAGTGGAGGAGGACGACCATCTAAACTCACCCGCATTGGCGCTCCGTGAAGACTATGTAGTTGGGATGGTCGATTGGATTGCGCTCAACGAATTTGATGCACGTGTAGTTCTCCCAGTGGCGCATCGCCTGTTTGAATAGCGCCTTATGCAGTCCACTGAAATTTCCATCGATTTCATAGGGAATCACACCAAAGTCCCAGATGCGCTCCTTTTTGGCCGTTGCTGCTCGCGTTACCCGGTGGTGAGGTGATAGTAGATCGGTTCTGTAACAAATAAATTGAATAAGTGATATAATCATATGCCTGTAGCTGTAATTTAACACTTGTTGGGTAATTAGTTATACCTGCAGAATATAACTCATCATAACAACGCAGTCAGTTCTCATTGAATATTAATGTGCGTAAGTACAATCTCCTCCAGCACGAGCAGGCAAGCGTCAGTAAATAATCATGTGCGTATCACCGCACACGGGAAAACACACGTTGTTTGCCCAAACGTGTGGTGTGCAGAAGCCATAAATTTAAAAAGTAAAACATGGCCGTGGGATGTTTTCATAAATTATCCTTTGATGCCACCCACGCAGTTATCAGTTGCCACCAACAACGACCCGGAACACCAAATTGGAACATGTCCAGTTAGCAACCCACAACCGGTGGAATCCATTAGCGGTGCCGAAATGTCGATCGGTTATTTTAGGATTAATTGGTGCCTGAGTATCCGGTGCGATGACTGATTTGCTGACCGAAATGAATAATTTATTGGTGCCATTTGAATACTGGGATGAAGGAAATCAGCTTATGTGTTCAATATTTGTAGATTTTTTTTAAACCTACCTTAAAGTGATAATGCCAACTTAAAACGGATTTGATAATATTTTTTTTATGTTTTAAACTATTAAAGTTTAATTATCAAATGCCTATCCAAATTTTTAAATAATAACCGGTCCACGTTTGTCTGATATGGCTACTCTAGGGAGTTAGTTTTACATTGTTATAGTTTACATTTTGCTTTTAAGGAAAGTATGTTTGTTGATTTTAGTTAGAAAATTTGATATTCTACCTACTTAACCTATTTGCCTAACCTAACGTGTCAGAACCCTAATGATCTGTTGATCGGATCGCATGCAGCAATCTCTGAACTTTTCAATGGTAGCAGTTCTCCGTAATGCCAAGGTCTGAAGACCAGCCAGGCCAGAGGTGGACCTCAGAATTTATAGTACGCGGTGGACTGTTGAGGATCATCCTCAGGATCTTGTTCTGGATCCTTTGTAGTTTGATGTGATGAGAAAGTGCGCAACTCTCCCATATTGGCAACCCGTACTCTATGACGGGAAGGATTATTTGCTTGTAGACAGCAAGCTTGTTTTTTAGGGATAGGGTGGATCTCCTATTGATTAGCGGGTACAACGACCTTATCAAAATGTTGCATTTCGTTTTTGTTTTGTCAACATGCTCGATGTCGAGTGGAAGGATCCTCCCAGGAAGGAAAGGAAGGATCATTCCCAGTTTTCCGAATGGGGATGACTTTAGCTAACTTCCAGCACGAAGGGAAGTAGCCAAGTCGGAGGCAATGATTGAAAATCAGTGCCAGATGGTTGTAGAATCTGGATCTCACGTGCTTGAGCTCCACATTCAGGATGTTGTCGAAACCTGGGGCCTGGGTTTTTGGAAGTTTTGATATAAGCCAACAGTTCGTCAGCTGTGATCTCGGATTCCTCGGGAAAGATGCCAGGAACCTGGGGAGATTGGTTACATTTTCAGCAACCTCAGCTTCGTGAGGGCTGGTGATGTTTTGTCTAAGATTGAGGGAGCTGACGAAATGTTTACATAAAGGGTGATACGGTCAAAATTTGGTCAATATCAACTTGACGTATTTCTTTCAATTTTGCATTTAAAAAACCTGAACACCCCTCATTTTGAAGGTGTGTGTGTGTAGAATGTTGCTCCTATTTTGATTTTGGAATTCACTCTTCAGTTGTCAAAATGCCGTCCAAGCAAGAAGAGCAGCGTATCAAAATTTTGCTCGCGCATCTCGAAAATCCGAGCTACTCGCACGCAAAGTTGGCAAAATCGCTAAAAGTTGCCAAATCAACCGTTACAAATGTAATTAAAGTGTTTGGGGAACGTTTGTCGACAGCCAGGAAGTCTGGATCGGGGGGAAATCGAAAACCGGAAGCCGCTGAGACGACAAAGAGAGTTGCCGGTAGTTTCAAGCGAAACCCTAACCTCTCTCTCCGAGATGCCGCAAATAAGCTGGGTGTATCGTCTACAACCGTGCATCGAGCCAAAAAACGAGCCGGACTATCGACTTACAAGAAGGTAGTGACTCCAAATCGTGATGATAAACAAAATACGACGGCCAAAGCGCGATCCCGGAGGCTGTACACGACGATGCTGACGAAGTTTGACTGCGTGGTAATGGACGACGAAACCTACGTCAAAGCTGACTACAAGCAGCTTCCAGGACAGGAGTTTTATACGACAAAAGGAAGGGGAAAGGTAGCAGATGTTTTCAAGCACATGAAACTGTCAAAGTTCGCAAACAAATATCTGGTTTGGCAAGCCATCTGTACCTGTGGCTTGAAAAGCAGCATTTTCATAGCTTCCGGGACTGTCAACCAAGAAATTTACGTGAAAGAGTGTTTGAATAAACGTCTGCTGCCTTTCCTGAAGAAACACGGTTGTTCCGTACTGTTTTGGCCGGATTTGGCATCTTGCCATTACGGTAGAAAGGCCATGGAGTGGTACGCCGCCAACAACGTTCAGGTGGTTCCCAAGGGCAAGAACCCTCCCAACACGCCAGAGCTCCGCCCAATTGAGAAATACTGGGCTATTGTCAAGCGGAACCTAAAGAAGACCAAAAAAACTGCTAAGGGCGAGCAGCAGTTCAAGGCAAACTGGCTTTCTGCGGCGAAGAAGGTGGACAAGGTGGCTGTACAAAATCTGATGGCAGGGGTCAAGCGTAAGGCCCGGCAATTCGGATTTGGAAAAGCGGAAGCCTAACTGAATATTTTTCCTGAATTTTATACTAATTGAACTTGAAAAAGAAATTTAATTTGATTTTTTAAATAAACGATTTCACCGATTTACACGCGTTTTCCCTTGACCAAATTTTGACCGTATCACCCTTTATCGCGGCAGCCTTCTCTTCAGGTGTTATCAGGTGAACCACTGAACCGTCGGGACAATTCAGGGGAACCAGCGGTGAACTTGGCGTCGATTTAGTTTTGAGGACTTTTGTTAGTTTTCAAAAGGGTGTTGCACAACCTTGGAGAGATCGGATGTTATTGGCAAAATTCTGATTTCTGAGTTCCACCATTTAAGCTTTGCTAAGTTTAGTTAGACGGTTGGAATGGGTCCTCAAGGTAGGCAGTCCAGTTCTCTGGTACTGCCTACGCATGGCGTTACGGAGTCTGCTTAGGCTTTTAGTATTCTGATCAAGGTTCAGAGAATTACTCAACCATCTGGAAGCTGGCATGTATTGTCCGCGGGCTCGGCATATCGCCTCCTCGATGGCGCACAGAGATCTATCGATGTCATCAGTCGTCTCCAGTAGGGCGCCAAAATCGTTGGCTTCGTCGATGACTTGTTGGAACCGATCCCAGCTTACCCGATGGTAATTTCGACGGGAAGCATGAAATCGATTAACGGAGGAGCCCACCTCGGCCACCACCAGAAAGTGGTCCGAGCTTAACTATTGGTGGGCTACCGGTTGGGAGATGTTCTCCATGCTGCTGACTAAGATATCGATGGTGGAGTGCACACCGAACCGGCTCAGCTGGGTGGGAGCGTCCGGCACCAGGATGGTGTACTGGCCCTATTGCAGGTTGTCGTTTAGGATGGTGCCGTTCTGATTCCGCCTTTGGTTGCCCCAAGCTTAATGTTTGGCGTTCAGGTCGCCAGCGATGATGAACTTTCCACGGCGTCGTGTTATCTTGATAATATCCCTCCGCAGGTCTGCCGCAGATCCGTCCCTGGTGTTGGCTTGTTTCGGGAAATAGGCCGCAATGATGGTGACGGGGCCGACGGGTGTGGAGACTTCCAATCCCAATGCTTCAATTATTTTCAGCTGAAAACTGGGTAGCAGTCGGCAGCAGATGTTGTTCTTAGTAGCGATGGCCAGTCCACTACCCCCAGAGCTTGTCCGATCCAACCTCACGAGCCGGAATCCAGGAAGAAAAACGTTCATCTCGGGCTTCAGGTGAGTTTCAGCGATGCTATGTTCGTTGAGGAAGTCAACGAACTCGATAATTTTGCTCTTGAGCGAGCAAGCGTTCCAGTTTGCGATTTTGATCAGCTCACGGTCCATTACTGAGCATGAAGGTAGCCACAGCTTGGAGCTGGTCGGATTTGTTCTTGATGGTGTTGGCAATGTCGTGCATCTTGAGGAAGATGTTCATTAGTTCCGCTGTGCCACGAACCATCGTTGATTTCTGGCTGCGGTAGAGACGGTCCATCCTGACGCCAGTTTAGCCCATGGGCTGTGGGGAGATCCTGCGGCTGTGGAGCAGCAGTCGTCTCTTGACCTGATTTTGCAGGGACTTTTGAACTTGAGTGGTGGCGGCCGCCGCAGCAGTAGCAGCGGCACGAGCAGCAGCCAATCGTTGATTGAGTGGCAGCGGAGGTAGCACTGTTATCGGTCGTCGTGGTACCGGTGGGAAGTTCTGGTCATTAATTTACGGCTGTTTATTGCTGCCGGGGTGGTTTCTCGTCAATGCTTTTTCCGGATCTCGATGTACTCGCTGCGCTTCGGGCAGGCCTTGCTTGTAACTTTGGGAGAAGCACCGTAGTTGGCGCAAATGGGATCGGCTTCATCGAGTCTGTCGCAGGCGTCGGTTTTGTGTTGTTTTCCACACATGATGCAGCGGCTGACCATATGGCAATTCTTCGATCCATACCCGGGTGATTCCACGACTGACCGGCTTGTACCGCTCCCACTTCACCACAGTATTGAACAGGACGTGGATGCCCTGGAGGTCCATCAAAGTTGTTGAGTTCTTCTCAAGGTGGATCAGGTATAGCTGGTCGCGGTACTAGACGGCCTTGTTGTGGCTGGCCATCTTGTGAATTTGGACCGGCTTCAGTCCCTTAGCCACCAGCTCTTCCAAGAGGACGCCCGTGTCCATGTCGTATAGTCCGCGCAGGACCACCTAGAACCTCGATGTCGTGGGAAAAGTACTCCACCTGTGCTTGGTCCAGTATGGTCTGTACCGCCTTGTAATATTTCAATGCCGGAACCATCAGTTTGTATCCTTCCGTGCACA